TATTCTGTTGAGTTCAGCTCAGTTCAGTTCAGTTCAGTTCAGTCGCACAGTCGTGTCCGACTCTTTGCGACCACATGAATCGCAGCACGCCAGGCCTCCCTGTCCATCACCAACTCCTGGAGTTTACTCAAACTCATGTCCATCGAATCAGTGATGCCATCCAGCCATCTCATCCTTTGTTGTCCCGTTCTCCTCCTGCCCCCAATCCCTCCCAGCATCAGGGTCTTTTCCAATGAGTCAACTCTTCACATGAGGTGGCCAAAGTATTGGAGTTTCAGCTTCAGCATCAGTCCTTCCAATGAACACCCAGGACTGATCTCCTTTAGGATGGACTGGTTGGCTCTCCTTGCAGTCCAAGGGACTCTCAAGAGTCTTCTCCAACACCATAGTTCAAAACCATCAATTTTTCGATTGCAGCAGTTAAATGCCTAAGCAAATATAAAGAATTTATCTTTTTTCTCTTTGGACAGATGTTACAAATTTACAAAAATGTTAAATAGTCTCACTCTTTTCACTGTTTTTTTTTTATTATTTTGTAAAATATAGTTACTTTCCTAAAAATACATTATTTATGTTAACATGTATTTGGCTCTTTATTGTTACTTTTAAATGACACAATGTCAATTTTAAAACTTTCCCCCCAGTTTTAATTTCTAATTTAGTAACTATTGGTTGGTCTAAGCTCAACAAACAAAAATCTTTGGTGTTCCAATAATTTTTTAAAGAAGATTTATTTATTTATTTTTTGGCTGCTCTGGGGCTTCACTGCTGCATCTGGGTTTTCCCCGGTTGCGGTGAGCAGGGGCTACTCTTTGCTGAGGCATGTGGGCTGCTCATTGTGGTGGATTCTTTTGTTGCAGAGCACAGGCTCTAGGTGTGGGCTTCAGTAGTTGTGACTCACAGGCTCTAGAGTGATGGTTCAGTAGTTGTGATGCACAGGTGTAGCTGCTTCATGGCATGTGGGATCTTTCTGGACTAGGGATCAAACTGGTGTCCCTTGCATTGCAAGGTGGAATCTTAACCACTGGACCACCAGGGAAGCCTGGGGTCCCAATAACTTTTAAGAATGTGAAGGAGTCTTGTGATCAGAGTTTGAGAACCACCCTCTCAGGAGTGCTATCTTTCAATGTCTTGTAAATTTGTTTTTTCTGTTCCTCAAGCAGTGTCTCTTTTGCGCCCATTATAATAAAAAGAACGTTTATATAAATGTTGGAACCTGGTACAATATTATAATATTTGTATAATATATGGAAAGAAAACAGTTAAAAAAAAAGACTTTTGCCAAAGCAGTCTATTTTTTACAGGCCTTTCTCTATAAGTCATTTCTATTAACCGTGCCTTGCTATAGATGTTTATAACAAAACATTAAAGACTGGGTAGAAAGGAGAAAACAAATTACTCTGCAGAGAACCCAGCAACTCTGCTAAAATACTGTCAGTTATTTATCTACTGTCAGCAGAGGTTGCACACTATAATCCTTGACAAGCTCAGATTCAGAAAGAATGAAGAGAGGGGGCAAGCATTGCATTTAAGGGCCTGTTCTCATGCACAGACATTTTAACACAGATTTAAAGCCAGAATGTATCTTTGAGAAAATGTCACTTTTGATTTTGATACATATCCTAGCAAGCCAACTCTACATTTGGTTGACTTAGTACAAGATATGTTAGAGGCTAACACTATATTTTAGACCATTCATGATCCCAGCGTTGAACTAACACAATGAGGTCAGCATCCCTTCGTGCTGAGAGTTGGCTACTGCAACTGCATGATTTCATGGGCATATTTTTTATGATAAGAATAGGGCGTTATTTTTGTTTTGTCAGGCAAAGTAACGACAGGCTTTAAGAATTTTGTTGCTCTCTCCAGCATCCATTTCTCCTTTATGTTTACAGGGGAGGCAATCATCAATGCGTTCTCTTATTCCAAAACACCTTCTCTCTGGAAAACATGTGTGGCTAAGGCAAAAATGCAACAGACTGGAGAGTATTCTGCAGGATACCCTAAAGAAAACATCCCACCTCAAGCACGTAGTTGAAGTAGCTCATGATACTGACACGAACCTGTGAAGTGCCGAATGAGCAGGCTCAAACGAAGAGGCCCGAGCGAGAAACACAACCCTGGTCATTTCTAGTAGAAACAATGGTTACCTTTAGAATACAGTTCATATTGACTGGACAATGACATGATTTCTACCCACGTGATAAGAGGTCTAAATAAATGTGTGCTTGTAACTGGGGATGTCTGATGTAGGCTGAACCAGAATTTTAATTTTCTAATTCATATTCACCAATTAAAAATAAACTGTATTTTTATGAGCAAATTTACATAAATCAGATGATAAAGCATCTACCACTAAAGGGTAGGAGTTCAGCTTGCAACATTTGCATATATTCTCCTAAAGAAAATATAGGCGTTTTAGATTCTCATTGAAGAGTCTTGCTGCGTTGGAACTCTAATGGGCTTAGAACAGTAAATTTTGAAGAAACTGATTGCTACCCCTGTAGCTAGTAAATGTCTGCCTAGACCCAGTGGCATTTGAAAAAAGTGTTTTATCATAAAATTATCCCAGCAGAGTCCATTCTGCAAGATAACATCATCATCATCATCATCAGTACTCCATGCAGGACCCAACAGCTCTGGCACAATATTGCCAGTCATTTATCTGTTGTCAGCACAGGTTACACACAGTAATCCTTGACTGCCTCGGAATTAGAATGTCTTTGATGTCCCCACAAGAGTTTTTTGCCCGAAGGCTTTACCAATGCTCGGCGGCTCAGTGTTTATTCCTCGTAATCTTCCTCTCATCTCCAGGCTAGCAGTGACAGATGGTTATGGGCACACAATAGTATTAAGAGTTTGATATTTTTTTTATGCTGTGCTCTCTGTACAACAAATAGCTATCAGACGCGGGCCAGAGAGCTGACATGGCTCGCTTAGGTAATGGCAAACAAACAGCTCGGGTTGATGCTTTCTGTCATTTCCCCTCCTAACCCTGCTTGTTTTCATTGTATACTCTCAAAGGTAAACTATATTAACCTTATAGACGGTTATTAAAAAGATATATCTATATGAGCATAAAGTGCTTTTCTTTTCTCTTTTTCTTACTCTTTTGATTATGAAAGTAATACTGCTGACATATTGAACAAATATCGAATGTCAACATAAATTTTTAGTGTGTGATAATATCCCCCTTCATATAGCTGTGTGTCAGGCGGGAACCCGCGGATGATGCATAGCAGTAAATAACCCAAACAAAATTAGTTCTCTTGTCAGCTTCTACCTTGTATGTCCCCAGGCATCAGTAAAATTGACTGCACGCTAGATTTTCAAAATTAGCCCTAATGTTAGCTATGTGTCTGGCAACCTCCAAGTTTCCAATGTTCTACTATATTACCCGTAAGGATGAATGTGTTACTTTTATATTTTGGCATTTACTCTTGCTGATGCGGCTTTTTTCCCCTCTTCTCCAAATTAAAAATAATTTAGCTTTAACAATAAGAATGCACACAAACATAATGCCGCATCTCTTTAAGCAACTACTTTAGGCAATTAAATTAAAGCAAAAATATACAAAGGAAGAGAGGGAATTATTCAATTTAATATTGTTAATTTTATTAACACAGCTCTGTCTGATTTTGCACAAAGTATTGGATAATGTGGTTCTCACCCTCCCCCACCCCCAATCAGGATGCTATTTTGCACTAGGAGTCTACCAATTATTTAATTGTGCAGTTGTATGATAACCCAGAACCAAACTTTGTAAACCGATTTTCTCATAATAAATATTACTTCAGAGACAACCCAAGGTTAGTAGAACCAAAAGAAAACACTTTTCAGGAGGGAGTCCATGAGATCTACTTTACCTTGAAACAGGTTAATCTCATTGAGATTCACTGCATTTTAAAATAATACAAAAGGACACTTGAACAAGGTCACATTCTAAATAAAACATGATTTAAACATAAATGTTAAAACTCCCTTAGAAAGGCTATGCTGGAAGTGTGAGGTTGAACAGACAAATTCAAAACCACATTCCCCATTAAATTTCAATCCCTAAATTTTACGTTCATACACTTAGAGTCAAAGATGAAAAGCCCTTTAGGTACCAGATGCTGCAGATCTACAGGGAGAGCTTCTGGAGTTTTAATGTGCTGGAAGTCAAATCCCCGGCAAAGGCGCTTTGCCCGGCCGGTGTGGTCTGCTTATTACTTCACCTGTAAACAGTTGCTCTAGGAAAATCGGACCTAATGATCAGCCCAGCATCTCTGCAATAAAGAGACCATAATCTGTAGGGGAAGTGAAGTCTAATCAGGCCACATGCAGATTAAACTAACTGGGAGGAATAAAAACTAGATTAAAATGTTTATGCCTAATACCAGAAGATTATCAGGACATTTTACCTCTTTAAATCCTAATTTATAGGAGCCAGGGTTAAGTTTATGAGTTTATATTTGGTGCGATTACACACTGCAGTTGATTTTCCTGTTTAGAAAAGACTCTATTGGAAAGCATTTTCCTTAGCACAATGTAGAGGCATTGGAGAGAAGGAAAACAGTTTTATGTGTACTGACATATTTTGTGATAAGTGAAATAAAGGCATCTAGTTGAAACTGGTCAAATTGGTAAATAACGGAAATTGGTTTTGTTTTAATGGTAATACTTTGTTAGCAATGTGGAGATATAGTGTTGTGGTAACAGAATATATAAAAAACATGGAATCCTATTTTTATACTTTGAAACTTCTTGAACGAGGTTTGGTTTCCTAGAAGTACTGAACTGCTACTGTTGAACAAGTCACTGCAAAGCATTGTACGTGATTCAAATTTAACCTAAGTATACAAGCATGAATAAAAAGACTCTGAGTGGTGCCATCTTGGCACCCCTTGAAATGATCTTTTTCTAAAGCTATCAGGACAACAAATTACTAAGTCAATCATCAGAGTATATTTTCTATTACCAGTTCAACAATGTACTAAATTGGTATGTCTTACACTTACCACCTGTGAGGCCAGACAATATGTAATGGTCTTTGCTGATCATCAGCTTCAGCCAAAATGCCACACTGATTTTGTTTATGTTCCCCATGATGTGTGCTTGAATCATCTGAGGAGTTGAATGTTTTCAAGTATGACTCCTGCCTTTCTGAGCAACCCAGGCTTTCTTGGTGTGCAGCATCACAAGGTCCAGACTTTGAATCAAAACTCTTCCATAAATTCTCAGAACTTCTCAGCTCCTGCTGGAAAGGAAGGGCCGTGGATGGAGCAGTGCCACCGTTTTCTTTAAGGCTGAGTATCTTCTGTAAATGGGCTGCTTTGTGCTTGGGCATGAATCTATTACAAAAGGAAAATGTAGTACACTTTTAGTGAAAACACTATTCAAAATTCGTTCTTTACTTTTCTGTAAGGACATGATGATGGTGTATAAAAACTAAGGAAAAAAAACTAAAGATATAACAAAAATTCGACAAAGAGGGCAGAAAAAGCAGTAGTCATCACGAGGAAGTTCAAAAGTTTGAAATGAGATTAGACTGTGTTTGAACGGTTTCCAAAGAGTTTCTGTGGCTATAAAATCTGCCTTGCACATACCATAAAAAATAAGAGTGGAGCAATGGTTTAGCACTCTCTCTTTCCTTGTCTTTCTGGAGTTTTGTGTTTTCCAGTTATGACATGACCCGGTGTTTATTTTCAAGACAAACCTATTTATGAACCTACAAAAATGCTTGAAACTTCCTCGATTAACACTGGGCATTTCTGCTCACATGACTCTTTTATACTCCTGGGTGCCTGTACACAATTTTTATTTAATTGACCTTGCTAATATTTCTTGAAGTATATTTTTTTCGCTACCATCTCACTCCTTTCTTCCCATCATACTTCACCATCCAGAGTTCAATGCCTGTTACTTATTGGCAGTAGCAACTACATAAAATGAAACCAAGGAATTCACCATGTAATGACGAGTAAACTGGTAGCCAGAGAAGGAGACAGACATGAGAACATTCAACTAACCAGTGGTAGAACACAGTGTATCAGGAATGGACATCCTAACTTAAAACTGAGAACTAGAGATAACTAGAGATTAATTCTGACTTGGGAATCTGTAAAGCCTTAAAGAGGATTTTAGTTGACTGATTCTGAAAGGCAGAGAAGGGGAAGTTCTGGACTGAGGGAGCCCTGTTATCAAAGGAAGAGTATGAAAGAGAATGAACCCTTCCAGGATTAAGATGCAAGCCAAAGAGTCTGGGGCCAGGTCCTGCAGTCTAAGGTCTAGAGAGGCCATCTGAGGCCAGACAACAAGGGTGTCCTCAGAGGCCCTAAGGCCTATCCAGAGACTTGGCGCCTTCCCTGGATGGAAGAGTACATGAAGAAATGGAAAGCACATGCATGTAAGGCCAGGTGAGGAAGAAGAACCATAGAATCAAGGAAAGCAACAAGGAACATCTGGAAGAACAGAAAGAAATCTGAGAGTAACACCACACTACTGAAGTGAATTAAGAGCTCCTAAAGAATGTGTAGAAAAAGAACTAGGAGCTCTTAAAACTGTTTAAAAAAAAAAAAAAAAAAAGAGGGTATGTGTGTAAAACACTACAGAGGTGCTATATAGCACCAGAAACAACAGGGAGATTTTGGTTTTGTTATGAAGTAGATCATGGGTTTCCCAGGTGACTAAGTGGCAAAGCATCTGCCTGCCAATGCAGGAGATGCAGGAGACATAGATTTGATCCCTGGGTTGGAAGGATCCCCTTGAGAAGGGAAATGACAACCCACTCCCACTCCCACTTCCCTGGGAAATGCCATGAACAGAGGAGCCTGGCAGGCTACAGTCCAAAGGGTTGCAAAGAGTCAGATGCAACTAAGTGACTAAACAACAACAGGGGAGTCAATTACTGGTTACTCCCAGGACAGTTCATGTTGAGGGCATGGTGGGGGAGGTAGAAACTAGATGCTGGTTAGGGAGTGAGCACAAGGGAGAGAGGGGCAGAGAGGAGGAGAGTGGGGAAGGCAAGGTCAAGTTCTCTTTAATGGGGCAGGTGTCCTCAGGAGTATTCAGTTGGGAATACTTGCCCAGGGAAGGGGGCAGGATCCTGAGGAAACAGAAAAGTCTTACAAGATGGAAGCAGAAAAAGAACACAAGCTGTGATATTGGCAGGCAGCTTGCTGTGGAGGGGAAGTAGGACCTTATTCAAGAGAATGTACTGAACTTTCTTACAAAGTTGAGAGGGAAGAAGAGAAAAACGGTGTCGATAAAAAAGCAGTTTCAGATGGCAAGTGCAGAATCTAATGCATCCTCAGAGAGTTGGATGAGACTATCTACTTCAAGTGAGGTGAGGAGAGGTAGAGTTAGAGCTTAAGTGAGCTGAGAGGTCAGAATGTCACTATGGAATGGCGAAGGGCCATCACTAGTTCTGAAAGTGAGGGCGCACGAACAACACGTAGAACAGTGGGGGTTCTGCTGTGACCTGGAAATCCAGTCTGGCTGTAGTATGCTGTGTTCATCCCAAAAGCTTGATGTGGGAGCCTCTGTGCTTGTTTCATAAGGTTTTTCAGGAAAAATCACCTAAATATATATATAATCCACCTACCTGCCCACCACCCATGCACTGTCATAAGCAGATGAAGCAGATATCGCATGTGAAAGTGAAAGCTCCTCAGGCCATGGAATTCTCCAGGTCAGAATTCTGGAGTGGGTAGCCTTTCCCTTCTCCAGGGGATCTTCCCAAGCCAGGTATCGAACCCATGTTTCCCGTATTGCAGGCAGATTCTTTACCAGCTGAGCCACATGGGAAGATACTGCATAGAGACAGATAAAACTCAAATACTGGGGCTAACCCCCTTGATATGCTCCAATATAATAATACATTAATTCTTGATTTAAAATGAGAGATGGGAAAAAAAATCTAAGTGTGTGTATATATATATATATGCAGACACACATATACACACACAGATACAAAACTGAGTCACTTTGCAGTGCACCTGAAAATAACACAGCATTGTAAATTAACTACATTTTAATTTTAAAAAAGACCTCTGAATATCTCATTTAGATAATCAGGTTAAGAAAATTTCTTGAATTATAATGAATGTTGTACTAATTTTTTTTTCATCTATCTACTGATCTCTAAAACCTCAGTGGTCACAACCTCAGTTTTATTAGAACTGCTTAAAAAATAGAAACTTGGGCATATACAGATTAGAGTTTCAGATCTCATAGATCCAAAATCAAGAAGGGAAGTAACCAACTTTCTTGCTGAAATAAATTCAAAATACTGAGGAGATTGTAAGGAACTAAAAATCAATAGGAAAGTTTCTATCGATCACCACAAATGGAAAAAAAAAATGACTGTGACTATGTCTTCAACTTCTCCTAAACAAATGGAACAAATGGTAAGAGAAAGAACATAGGTACATATGTAGAAAACAACAATAAAGCAAGTGGAGTAACCTATTTGTTTATGTCAGATAAAGAGCACAAGGCAAGCTTAAAAAGGATTTTAAAAGAATTACAAACTTGGTGCACAAAGGATTCACAATTAAAAAAAAAAATCAATGGGCATTGAAACAACATATCCTCATTTTAGAAGACAGTATCATGACCCATCTTGTTAAAAAAAAAAATCCATTTATATTGGCCAGCATGTGAGCAAAACTAAAAATTAAAAGAGATGGGAGATTCACTACAAGGTTGTAAACAATGGGAATCAGTAACTGACAAGGAATTTAGCTGTGGGCAAGGTGCTAGGCTTGCTTTGATTCAACATGTTTCCTAAAGGTTCTCAAGGAAGAACAGAATCCCACCTTAACGCAGGTTGTGAATGACTGACTTGATAGGTGGTGGTGAATAAGGACATGGGAAGATGTGGAATATCAATATGGACAGAAATCTAAAACTCAGCTTATTAACATTATGAAATTGACAAAATAAAAATGAACCTGAATGCAGCAGGGCGCACTGAACAGACTATTTGGATTTCCTGGAATGTGACCAGAAGAGTCTGTGTGCTGACTGCACCAGCAAACTGATGCTGCTAAGTTATGGAACGTGATCTACAGCGAAGGGAGACCAGTCTGTGGGCACAGAAATACTGTGCAAAAGCTGATTTCATCAGAGGCACCTGATAACTGTATATGTTTGAAAATTAGAGAGTTTTTAGAAGAGCAATAATAATGATTAAGGCAATGGGAGAACTGATTTATGAGGACAGATTAAAGGAGCTAAATATGAATAGCGTGTTTAAGTGACAACTAGAGGGGTACATAATAGGAGTCTCCAAGGAAAGAGTGTAATTATTTATCTGGATACAGCGGGGTATAACTAGGAGTAATGAGATGAAATAAGAATGGGAAAATTTAAGCTGAATTTCAACAAAAAGTCCCTGATGGTGTAAATTATTAGCTCATGGAATAAATTCCCTATGGAAATGCTATAGCTGGGGAAACTTCATAATGGAACTGGACAAAATACCAATAAATAATATAAGTAATAATCCAGTACTTGAAAGAAGGTGGTTACATGCTATGCTTTCCTTGTTGACTATATCTTTTCATATTTTACTTTAATAATCTATTTAGAGTGATTGTTACCCAAAGAAGTATTTAGACAATTGTCTAAATCTGAAAGGGAATATGTCCTTTAGGTGAGTAAGGCTAAAATTGATTTAGTTTTCATATACTACGCAGCAGTAAGCAGAAATAATTTTTTACTACTTTGTTTTAGTAGAGCTGGTCTTGAAGCAAGCTGGACAAACATATTACTGTTTCTAAAAAATAAAACAATCCTCATCTACCATCCCACACATTCTATTCTGATTCTCTGTGCCACGAAGCTCATATTTTCAGACATGTTTAATATAAACAATTTATTGCCATAATAGAAATAAAAAAACTTTATTTCAGCTTTTCTAAATGTAGCTCTATGGTCAATTACTTCACATCAATACCAAGATCAAATAGGCATAATACTAACAAGCAGTTTGCTTAATAATAGTCACCACACTAATTAACCCATCCAGAACGTTCTTAATCAGATGCTGTTTGTAATGTACAGTTTAAGAGAAAGCTGGCAATAAATGGCTCTATGCTAAAAAAGAAAATAATACCTTACTGATGGGGTGATACTGGCTTTTTTATAGAACTGGACAGAATGTTTTCACTATCCTGGAGGGAACTTAATGAAGTAACTATGCAAATAGGCACATGTCTGAACACTTCCTTTCTCCTCTCCAGCTCCAACTCTGGTGGAGGTGCTAATGAGAAGAGGAGAGGTACTGAGGTAAGAAGGGAAGAGGAGAAAGGAAAGAAGAAAACCAGTGAGCTGCCTTTTAGAGCAT